CCGGTGTGAGAGTTGTTTGCAGGTTTCCGGCGTTCTACCGGCGAGGACAAGAATCGATCTACCCCAGACTGGACCAGGACGTTCACACTTGCATTAGTCGGTTAATCACCCTCTGATTTAATTGAGCAATCTTTGGAACCAAAATTGGAAAAGTTGTAGTCTTTGGCTTGCACAAGATAGATGATTTCCTAATGGAATAGTCTATAGATTTGGATTGAAATACATGCTTGCCTATGTCCCATTCCTTGTTACGTGAGTTATTGGAATCGGATCTCTAGGCCGGCATCATATGCTCGAACTTGCTCGTCTATGTTCAATCCCTTGTTACGAAGAGTTATTGGGAGCGAACCGCTAGATGTTTAAGCGAGAGTGTCAATCTTAAATCGAACAATTAATATCTCGATTTTGCTAATAAAACTTGAATTGATTATCCCCAATTCCCTAGCTTCTCCATCTTCGTTTCGTTCTCATTTTTAGGTAGATTATGCTTTTTATTATTTCTTAGCTGATAATTTCTCAAACTCGCATCTGATTAGTATGTCTAGGATTCATTTTCTTTCTATGTGTTATCAATATCAGAACTAAATTTCGAACCGTCTTCCTCGTGAGATCGACCCGGGGAACGAATCTTTCGATTCGATACTCGGTAAAAATAATAATTTGTACACAATAAATTTGGCGCCGTTGTCGGGGAAGGCAAGTAGGATATTTTGTTTTGGTATTGATTTTATTTTCTGTGTTTCTCTTTATTTTGTTTTTGTATTTTATTTTCACATTAGAAGTATCTATGTTCATTAAAAACTATTCAAATTTTAAAAATACATATATTTTTTTCTTATATACTATTTTATAAATGAAAAACATGTTGATAAAAAACAATGTATAATAATTTCGATTATGGTACTTGGTAATTATGGAAATATATAGTATATCTAAATATTTGAATAGATACTGTGTAACTAATTATATAGGTTGAAAAATGAATTAAAGAAATAAATGTAAATAAAAAATAGAAGCATAAAAATAAAATATTTAGCCATAAAAAAAATTGTATGTTGCATAAGGATTAAAGTCATTAAAAATTTAAATTTATCTATCAAAGTTTTTAACATTTAATGCACTTAATAATTATAGTGGAAGATAAATATTATGGGTTAATCATTGGTCAATTATCAAGCAATGTGTAAATTATGAATTGTTAAAAAAATTATAAGACTATGATAAACGACAATTTTATAAGTATATACAAGTAATTTGTATGCAAATATCATATGATCATACATTTATAATATTTTATAAACTTATAAATAATTAAATTTATATATTAAATAGTCAAAATCAAACAAAAAAAAATACAAAATAGAAATTAACAATAATAGTACATAAATAAATTTCATATTATTACTTAATAGAATATTACGGATGGCATAATTTTATATTGTCTTAAATAATTTTATAATATTTAAATAAAAAATATATATATTTTTTTTATTGCACCCCTAGATTCCGCGTACTGGCAAAAATGAATTGGCCGCCCTAATCCTAATCCAGAGAAGGGCGGGAAAGTAAAGCCCATAATTTGCGGCAACACATTTCTCCATACTTCTCACAAAATCCCACATAAAAATCTCTGAACTTCACAGTGCTCATACTGATTTTCCATCTCGAACAGAAGGCAGACGGTGAAACAATGGAGTCCACTCTCAAAGTATGCTTTTTATTAAACTCATTATTACGATTTTCTCTATTCTCTCATTTGCTGTGTTATCCTTTCTGCCATTAGGGGTTTTGATTCCTAATTTATTCTGAATTTGGTACAGACATATTTTGGCTTCTCAAATTTCCGACCGTACCAGAAAGAAATAGTGGAGAACATTCTGCGAGGAAAAGATTGTTTAGTGGTCATGGCCACTGGAAGTGGCAAGTCCCTGTGGTAACTACTAAGCTTAACTCGATTTACTCCTGTATCTGACATTTTCTTTATCTTCACAAGGAAACCATTTTTTGTATTGGTTAAGCTATCAGGTGCCGCCATTGATTGCGAAAAAGACTGCTGTGGTCATAAGCCCACTTATATCGTTAATGCAAGACCAGGTTTGCCTCTTAACCTCAGTCATTTTCTTTCTTTCAGTTTACTTTCATGTTTGTTAAATATATCTACCGTTGGTTTGACTGTGTCGGAAATGTGAGATGCTTAGGTAATGGCGTTGAAACAAAGGGGTATACGTGCCGAAAATC